GAGTTTGATCCTCACTAGGTGCTCCATACTTTCGGCCTTGTGCCACATCTAAACTACGCTTAGAAAATAACTATGATAGTCAATGGCGGTGAATAATTTATATCTTCCAAGAATACAAAATAAAGTAAATTGTAGCAAGATCCGGAAGAACTTTAAACATCTAAACAGAAACTATCCGAGTGCTGGAAGAATTCTTCTCTGTGTGTGGTAGAATTCAAAGAGAATTTTGATTGATTCATTGTTTCATTTTCTACGGCTTATCAACCCATTGAAAATTATTTATAGCCAAAAATATATTTAGATTAAAGAATTAGTTTTTAGATAATTATGATTTAGTTGTACAGAGTTTACTAATCGACCCATAGATAGAAGTAGAGCAAGTTAGTCGATACTTTTCCCCAAGGGTACTTGCGTGTAAGCGAATATAACGAACCCAACTGGAATTGGGACTCGGATCTCCGATTAACAATTACGGGCCGTTATCCACTACACTACCTGCACATCCAAGCTTATAGCACCTGATATTCCCAAGCGGTCACCCATCTAGGTACTGACCAGACTCGACGTTGCTTAACTTCGGTGATCGTACGGGAACCTGTGTTTCAAAGTGATGTGGCCATAAACCAGAAAATTTTTTACCAATTGTCGGAACATGGAAAAACTGTTACAGAGCAACATTAAAATGAGCAATTGGCTTGTTTAAATGACTCACTAAAAACAGAAATTATACTTTTATAGGCAGAAATGCGGTTGATCGTGCTACCTGACAAAGAACTCACTTTACAAATGCGACGCAGTAAATGATCGATCATTGAGCTCTGATAATAAAACCTGCTACCAGCGGGTTATTCTCTGGATATCAGTTCAGCTTTTTTCATATTCAAGAATCCAAAAACAAATCGTTCTTTTAAGATAGAATACACAATTTACCTAAAATTTAGTGTAAGTTCATAAAAAAACAATGAAGATAGTTGATGACTGAATAATAAAACTGACCTGATACGAAAAAAAAGATTTAATGAAATGGTTTCCTTCGAGTTCATTCTTTTATCATTTCATTTTAACTTATCGTTCAATGTACCAGCCCTTCTCTCAGTCAGCTTTCGTTTTTTTTTACTTTTTCTTCCTCTTCTCCTACTTCCCTCATTCTGTCTTGATAATATGAATTCATAATTGATTTGAGGTGTTATCATCCTCTGCTGATAAAGATGAATGTTTTGCCCGTAAATTCTCCTCAAACTTTATTCTTGACTCATCTGGAGAATACCTGCCTAACTTCCTACTTAGAACTGACTCTCTGTTATGTCATATGCATATAACCCCCTTCCATAGTTTATGCTACCATCTCTAGCCTTGATCTCCACAAAGCATATCGACCCGATGGCATCCTTGCAATAGTCATTAAGAAGTGTGCTCCCAAACCAAAATGTATAATAAATGCCTCGATGCCTCCTGCTTCCCTGTTTGCTGGAAGTCATCGTCTCTTGTTCCAGTTTTGAAGAACTCTAGTGAACCCTCCGACCCATCCAATATCGGCCTATTAGCCTTTTGCTACTTTTTGAGAAACTCCTGGAGGCTCTAATCAATGCTGAATTGGTTCATCATCTCTCATCATAGAGCATTTTCTCAGACAAGCAATACAGCTTTAATTTCTCCAGATCAACTGCTGATTTACTAAAGATATTTGCGGAAAGAGTGAATTATTCTCGAGATAAAAACGGTGAAGCATCTCGAAAACCTCTGAGAGAGTCTGGCATTTAGGTTTTCTCCACAAGCTGAAAAGTTACGGTATTTTCGAGCACATTTTTGAGCTGATCCAGTCGTTCTTGTTAAATCGTGAAATGAAAGTTATCCTGAATGGCCATTCATCTACATCCTTTTGTACTAACGCGGGTGTTCCCCAAGGCTCCATCCTTCGCTCTATGCTGTCTTTAATCTTCATTAAAGATGACATCAGCTCTCAATTTGGTATCTACGCTGACAACATTACCATTTATTCCTGCCTTGATAATAAGGGTGATCAGTCAGTCAAGTTCAAAATGACAACCGTCGCAAACTGCGATGAAAGATGGCTTGTCAATTTTAACGCCTCCGAAAGTAAACTTCTCTCCATTAATCATCTGAGAGACCTTTTTCTACCTTGCTGATGCTATCCTCTAGGAAAGTGACCTATTGCGGCTTCTTGGGCTAACGTTATTAGGCGAAAAGACTACGTTGAATCCGTTGGTTCATTGTGTCGGTCGAGCCAATTTTTCTCTTCGGAATCTATCTTACATATATATAAGTCTGCCATTTGTCCATGCTTAGAATATTGCTGCCATATATATTCTGATGCCCCTGCTATTTACCTGGAGTTCCTTGATAAGATCCAAAGAAGAATCAGCAATATTATTGGTTGGATCGGCTTCAATCACTTGCCCACCGCTATAAAGTTGCCTCTCAGTGCCTTTTTTATAAATACTTTCACGGTAATTGTTCGGGTGGGCTGTATGCTTGATTGGCGCCGTGATCGCATCAATTTACAGTTGCGATAGCTAGATGTAGCTGTAATTTCTATGCTAACAATTTCTTATCCCGCACTTCTCGATTGAGGAACTCTCTCCTGGCTCCATGCTGTCCAGCCAAGTTTAATATGCAAGAATTTAAATGCAATGCCAATCTACTGTCCTCTAGATTACTTTTTCCTCTTCCCGCTCATTACTAATGTTTCTGTTCTTAATTCTTCCACACCATGTAAACCCTTTGTGTTTTTAGTAGCTGTACGGCTTCTCTTGGAGTGATACTGATTAAAAAAATGTCTACCTCTTTTTCTTTTTATCTCATTCTTCTTCGTTTACGTTCTCTCTGGATTTCTAATTTTTCCAGTTTTATTTCCACATTCCAGTATTGAATCACTATTTCTCTCTCTCTCTCTCTCTCTCTCTCTCTCTCTCTTTCTCTTTTATTGTTTTTCGCCCCCACTTTTCTCCCACTTCTCTGCTCTCTTTTCCTCTTCTTTCTCACTCTATTTTTTATTCTTTCTTTCTTCTAAGAAATAAAAAAATAAACGAATAAACAACTTGAGAGTAATCATTTTTTTATCCATCATATTTTTTTGTCATCCTTTTCCGAAATTTTTAGCTTTTTAATGAAAAATGATTCTGTTTTTGTTTTGTTTATTCTTTTTTACGTTTTTCTCCTTTTTTTTTATTCCTGTCGGTTCTCCAAGAGTTTGTTCTCATTCCCAAAATATTGATACGGAAATCATTTAAGACTCCCACCACGAGAATCGGCCGAATTCCAACGACCTTTGGATACAAAGAGCAAAAGACAGGATGGCGTAGTTTGTGAACAATTGGCAGTAACCAAAGGCTATTTGAAAGAATTCTTGGATTCTGGTTCCAGAAAATAGCAACACTGCTCCAAAATATTATGGGCGGAGAAAAAATGTAGATAAAGATTTATATACAACTTGTCGCGAAAAATCTAGCTAGCTACAGCTTACTTATACACATAGATAGATAGATAGATAGATAGATAGATAGATAGATAATAGGGGTTACTGAAGTAGGTAAACAGATGCTTCATAAATTTTACAGAATATTATAATACATTTACGGAGCATATATCTAAAACAACGTATAGTGTGAATGACTTTTAAGTCTGGTTCGCATTATGATAACTGCTCTTAGATTAAAAGATATACACATCATATTGGTATTGTAATATAAGTAGTTTACATAAGTCTTATGTCTTCTAGGGAGATAAGAAAATGAGTAAACAATTAAGTAGGGATACAAATAACTACAAAAGATATAGGTATTATAATCATCCGATTTCTACATGTCGGTCTATTTCTTTGTTAGAGTAATATAGCAAAAACGGAACGTCGGAAAGTGATTTTTCTTTGGAATATTCCAGTAAAAAATTTAACTTGAAGAATAAACCAAATTTTATTTCCAGTTGCGACTTAATAATAGTAATATGGCGTCTCCGTTCGCGCTCATCCCTCTAATAATGATCAGATTTTTGTAAGTTCTCAATGTTACAAAAGCTGAAAAATATCATATCTTCATTGAAATAGGAAAAATACAAAATACTTATTGCTGTGTAAAATAATTACCTTTACTTCGCAAAAAAATATGTATGCTTTTATATAAAAACAAAATTTAACTGTTTATTTCAGTTGCTAAGAACTGGTATGAAGAGGAAGTGATTTGACTAACATCCACTTTTGTGGACCTTTGAATGAGTAAAAAGTAAACTAAAGACGTTTAAAAAATATACAAAATAAGAAAAGTTACAGAAGTCCGTTTTATACTAATTATTAAAAGTTGCTTTTAATTACAAAAAATTAAGTCATGACAATTGTATATACCATTGGGTTGATACAAATTTTAACAATACATTTTTATTTGTTTTCTACTTAAATATACGAGGCTGGATTCATAGTTTGGGGAATTTTGATCTGTTTTATCTGTGATATACATGAAGAAACATTAAGTAAATTTACAATATATTTATTGAATGAAATAAATGCTCTTTTATCACTGACTTTTATATGTCAGCTGATCCTATTGTCAAATATTTCCAATAGTTCCACTCCAAACTCCAAATTGATTGATTGATGTTTTCTACGGTTTATCAACACTTTGCAGGTTATTTAAAGCCAGAAAATATTTTTAGATTGTAATTTCTATTTTAGGTAATAATGATTTAGTCATACAATCTTAACCTGTTCAAGTCTAGAATTAACTGCTATCTTCTCCTCCTTTCCATGTAAACTGCCCCTTAACGTAACCCACTACCACGAGTGCCCCACCACGGGCCATGTACTGGGTGAACTTTACCGTAAAAAAAAGGTACTACTAATTAAACCATAGCTGGTGGGAAAAGAGAGAGAGAGTCACACCTTTTCCGAATGGTATTTGCGCGTAAGTGAATATAATGAACCCAACAGGAATTGGAACTCTGCTCTCCAATTTCGATCCGTAATCCAATTCACCATGTGCACATGTAAGATTACAGCACCTTGACATTCCGAAGCGGTTACTCATTTAGGTACTGGCCAAGCTCGTCGTTGCTTAACTTTGGTGATTGTACGAGAACCGGTGTTCGAACGTGATATGGCCGTAAGGTAAATTGCAAATGAACGATATTCCATTAACCGTCTATAACTTTAGTTTTGCTTTATTTCTTTTCACTGAAGTGTCGTGAAAAAATGAAAAATATATATATATATATATATATATATATATATATATATATATATATATATATATATATATATATATATATATATATATATATATATATATGTGTGTGTGAAAAGTGTATATAAATATATATATGTATAATTATTTATATATTATATGCGGTACTTATTAGAAAGCGTTCAATATCAGAGATAGAGCTAACATATTTGGTTGGATAGATGTGAGTTTGTGATTCTGGGTTTCACGCTTTAGCGATCGTCAGACAAACTGATTAATGTTTTAAAAAATTTGGGTTTATGTAGATTGCGTGTATTGGTGTTACTGTGGAAGTGGTGGGGGAAATTTCGTCGTTTTGTCATTCATCGTACTAACGCAAACATCGATGTATGCAGACACATATACATACTTGGTCGTCCGTCGGGACTCATACATATATAAACATATGTCGGCAGTTACATGTATACGCTACCCGATTTGTGACTATTTTACTTATGTGATTCTCATTGGGGCCAAAGAACTGTGTTCGAGCCGAAGTAAAAGCAAAGATTTCACTTAGGCATCAGTCGTAAGAGAACACAGTGTATGGTTGTCAGCAAATGGAACAGCCCAAGATGTGATGATCAACGAATTGGAGAAAACACTGGGAAGTGTTTTAACAGACGGCTGAAAATATGACGCCGAAATCCGAAAGCGTACTGGAATAGCGAAAATTCTCTTCTAAAAGTTAAAAAAGTATTAGGAAGCAGAAAAAACATTTGTTGGAAACAAAGAAAAGAGTGTTTAATAGCTATGTTGAGTATACCATCGATGGAACATGTGAGCAATGTGGAAGTTTTAAGGAAAATGGAAAGAAAAAGTGTCTTAGATTAATTAGAATTAAAAATAAATGGTTGAAATTTTTATGATACATAAAGAGGAAATAGGGCTTGGAGAATTTGACACTTGCAGGACATGCTGAAAGCAAGAGGAGCGTACGGAAGCTACCTAATGAGCATTTGCAAATGGATGGTAGATCAGGGACTGAAATATATCGTAATGGAGAAAATATTGAATCGTAATTTTGTGGAGAGCAATGATCACACATTGACGGATACAGCACAAAAGAAAAAGTAGTAGTAGGAGAAGGAGCAGAAGAAGTTTTGAGGAGGATTAGAAGAAGAAGACGGGGATGAGAAGAAGCAGAAGAAGAGGGGGAGGGGGAGCAGAAGAAGAAGAATATGTAGGAGGAGAAAGAGAAGGATAGGAGCAGAAAAAGAAGAAGGAGTAGGAGTAGGAGCAGAAGAAGAAGCAGAAGAAGGAGCAGGAGTAGCAGTAGGAGCAGAAGAAGAAGCAGAAGAAGGAGTAGGAGTAGGAGCAGAAGAAGAAGAGGGGAAGAGGGGGAGAAGAAGAAGAAGAAGAAGAAGAAGAAGAAGAAGAAGAAGAAGAAGAAGAACTAAATAAAAGCATTGTTTTAAACTCTTTCATGCATTAAGTTCATGATAGGCGAGTGAATAAACGAAATGAGGCAGCGGAACAATTTTATAATGGAAAGCAAAATGTATTTGTCTATATTTCTGAGATGAAGTATTATATACACTATTTACATTATTCGGACTATTGTCCTCATCTCTGTCGCCATATTTATTACAACGCTTCGGCCGTTGTACGCTCCGTTGTACGCTCCGGCCTTCTTCAGGTGGTTGGAATGTCGAACTGAACCCTTTATTTCGCTCACTGGGGTAAACTGTTCTAGTTCCAAGTGCCATGTTTAATGGGTGTCAGTTGTCAGTTATCTCCTGTTAATTCCCCTCTCCAAGTTCTCCACTGCCTTAATCGGGTATTGAACTCACGACAAAGATGAGGACAATAGGCCGAATAATGGAAATAGTGGACATGAAAAATATTAAATATTATTCACAAACACATTTATACATTACAGGAGGTTATGTTTGAGGTTATGACTTTGGTTTAAAAATACTGAACTTAAATTATCAATATTAATTGTATTCGCTATATTAGTTCACACGACAAATTTGCTGTTATACATTTCGTATCGGCTTGCTTCGTATCTGCGGTTTTAAAATTTTCTAACACCATAGATAGATACATCAATAAGTCTAGGGTTCACTTATGTGCTAATACTCTCGGGAAATGTATGAATCCTCCACCCAGCTATGGGTAAATAGCAGAACAGACCGGGTTCTATAGCCTTGGATGGCAACTGTCTACAACAGAAAGAAATGACAACATACTGTGGGAAAAAATCTGCTTCGTCAGTCATGTATCGAAAGATACATGATCGCCTACGCGTGTATCACGCATGGCACATAACTGACTGACTAATGATGAAAAAAGAAATTATTTTTTATAAAAATATTTATGTCTTATATATCAACAATTTATGTCTTATATATCAAGAAACTTAATTCGACATCCGACTATCGGGCTCGTCATCCTACCTCATTATTCTCTTTCTCCCCTCTGGTGGCGGTAATGGAGATGGCTGTGAAAGCCCTTAAGAGTCTTGAGCAGGAGTCACAGGGAAGAATGGGCAGTGGACACTAGTCGGGTTCTCGTGACTGGGCGTCGCAGATCCTCTTCATTTTAACGGTTGGTCTTGAAAGTCTCGGTCTCCGCTACGCCAAGAAGGCCGATTTGCAGCAACGGTTTCCCAGCTCTCAGGGACGTTTTCAACTTATTTTTGAAGCGTCGTTTTGGGCCTCCGCGTAGCTTCTTGACGCTGGCCAGTTCTCCAAACAAAATGATATGTGGGAGTTGAATGGGACGCATTCTGGACACGTGATCTGCCCAACGGAGGCAATGTTGAAGGATGGTAGCCTCAGTGCCCGGCAGAGATATCCGAGAGAGGGATTCGTTGTTGGTGATGCGGTCCTCTCAACTGATGCGAAGGATTATTTAGAGCTTCATTTGCTGGAACCGTTCTAGACTTTTCCCGGCGATACAAAGTCCAGGCCTTGCAAGTAATGACAAATATTAAACACGGGAACGAACGTTACGCTGAAAATTTTAATTCTATTAATAACAAAATGCTTGGCTACAAACATCTTGGTCTACCTTTGTATATAGAATCATAAGAATAAATAAAATTTCGCGGGAGTTGATTATCTAACATTCCTGTTATATCACAGATTGCATTATTGGTCGATGTAATATAAGGCAATTTGTTCAGTAGTTTTATGTTTTAGATGCGTAATATGATATAATGACCAGAGAAAATCACTTCCACACAGATTAAGGTTTGACCTAGAAATGTCCATGTCGTCTTTCAAAAATAGTGAGCAGAAAGTTGTATCGCAGACGTGTCCCAGACTCGGAAATCAAACGGATATAAATATAGACCTCTGTACAGAGAGATATCTTAGGAGACGAGACCAGACTTGTGCGCCAGACGATGTTGAGGGGGCAATCCATCCTTCCTGAATACGTGATGAGGAAGGAGTCAAAATTGAGAATTAACAAAGATTTTCTCCCCTTTTGGCTAAATGAACTGAAACACTTGGCGATCATCACATATCTCCAGTTAGAAATAAAATGTAATAAAATAATAAGTAACTATTAAAGAAGATTTTCGTCCTACTGTTTCCTTCCCCACAACAGAATTCGAATCACTGGGCCTACCTATTCCCAAACACGCAGCATCCTTACACTACTTTTGATAATCATACCACTCAAACAAAGAAGAACGCAAATTCGAATTCATTCATTTATTGATAAAGACACTGACTTAACTAATCACTAATTTACTGCTACTTCATCAAGAAAGCAGCCACTTAAGAGAAATAAGCGAAGCCCGAATTGATAGGATCGAACTAAATCGTTGAATCGAAGCCAAAGTAAGCAATAATGTATTCTTCGATGTGGTCAAGGAAAATAAAAGCAGAACGTGAAAAGAAAAGGACATTAAACGACTCTGTGATATGGAGATTCGCGGTTGGCCTTACGGTTATAAAATCGTCAAAACGTGTTCGAATTTCGGCTGAGTTTCCATTTTGCACTAATGTCATTGTAGTGGCAGTATGACTGTTAATATGAGGCCTTGTATGAGTTGTATATGACAGTTATCCAATCGCCAGCATTAAAGAACTGACCGGCAATCAATTAGAAGAATTTGATATAAAACGAAATTGCTAGAAATAAGTTATGCTGTGGTTTATCAACAGGCAAAAAACAGAAAAACAAAATCGAAAAAAAAGAGAATAAATAAGTAAAATAAACTAATACATATTTTACAAATCAGATTTCGGTGATTGCCGAGCGTTTTGAATATAGGATAAGAATTGATCATTCATAATGTATGTTTACACATGAATTGATTTTCTAAGCGTAGCTTAGATGTGCTACAAGGCAGAAAATATGGGGCACCCAGTAAGGATCGAACTCACTACTCAGTCGTAATTGTTCTAGCAAGACAAGCTGGCTAACCATTACACCACGCCGAGGTGCCCATGTTTATATGTGTATATGTAACATAATTATGAATTTCAGTATATTTGAAACAAGGTTACAAATAGTTCATACGGAGCCATCTTGATCACGTGTGCTGTGTTGTCTGTAGCGGGTTAAACATATAGACCTCTTTGAATAAAAATGATGGCCATCGTCTATAATTTTTTGACGCCTTTGCTATGATCCTCGTTTTACACAAAACTTTTTTAATACAGACTAAGCCTATTTTTAACTTCTATACTCTCAAGAAATTCATGAATCAATTTCTCTTTAGTTCTAACCGATCGACAGGTGCTTCAAGAAAATATCCTGTCACTGACATGTCATGGTAGTTAAAGGAAAATAGCAGGTAATGGGTGAAATCTTGAGTAAAATAATCTTTCCACATTACCCTATGTTACCTACCAAAGCAGATGCTATTTTACACATGTATCCACAAATACATAAACCTGTCAAACATCATATCAAAAAATT